TTATTATTATTATTATTATTATTATTATTATTATTATTATTATTATTATTATTATTATTATTATTATTATTATTAAATAATGAATTTGAACCAATTATATAATCGTACAATTTATCAATAAATTTTTTTCTTTTGTAAATCTTATTTTTTTCTTTTTTTGATTCATTGTTTATGAATTTCCATACTATTATACCAAAATTATAAATATCAGATTCGATATTTAAATTAAATGTATTTTTATTATATGTTGTTATTTTAGAAGATGGAATGTAAAAATTTATACAATTGAATGGTGAAACATTAAAAGTTGAATGTGTTAAACAGATATGTTTAACCATAATTTAAAGTTTTTTGAAGAAAAAATATTTTATTAATATTTTTAATACTGTATTTTCAGTTAATATAATTAAATAAATAATTATTATTTTATATTTTTTTCGTTTATTAATCTTATATATTTTTTGATTTTGATTTTTAAATGTTATAATAGAACAAGTTTTATTATTTATACTTTTATCATCTTCTATATTTTTATTATCTATATTAAATTCTTTGTTATTAATTTTATTTATAATTATTTTATTATTTTTTGAATAATTTTTATTTATTTCTTTAGGATTTATTTTTTTTATGTTATGAGATAATGAATCAAGCATCATATTAAGTTTTTTGATGTTATTTTTATTTCTATTATAATTTGTATTTTTAATATTATTTATGTTTGTATCATAATTTGAGAAATGGTTAATTATTAATATGTTTGAATAATAGTAATTATAATAATATTTTATTGGATTTGTATTCTGTATAAATGATAAAAATAATAAAGATAAGATAATAATTTTCATATTATTTATTTTTATTTTAATATATTTTTTTTATGGAATCCGATACCAGATGTATAAGTGATTATATTTGAATTTCGAATACAGATTTCACAAAATTTAGATTTTTCAATATTGTTATTGATATCTACATCAAAAATTTGTTTCATAATTCTATCACAATTTTCACATCTAAACATTGTTGGAAATCCATTTTTATCTAAATATTTTCCGTTATGATAAATAGATTTTTTAATAGTTTTTTTAGTAGTGACTTCTTTGTTTGTGATAGTTATCGAGTAGTCTTTTTGTATTTCACCATCAATTTCTCTTCTGAGAATATCTATTTTCATTTCTTCAAAGAATCTAAACTATTTAACAGAATTATTAAAAGCATCGATTTCATTAGGTTTATATTTTGTTTTGTTGATATTTATTTTTTCTAATAAAACACCTTTTACGATTCCTCTAATTTCATTGATAATAATATCTTTTTTATCTTTAGGTATATTAACATTTTTTTCAGGTGGAAGTTCCCATACTTTTTCTATCAATGAGTTTTTAGATTCTATAAAAATTTTTGGATTATTAACTAAGTCGAGAGCTCTTAATTTTGTTTTTATGATTAAGATTTGTATATTTCTTATGTTTTCTAGATCTAATTCAGGTGGTGGTAATCTACTATCCATATGTAAGGTCCATAGATTATTATCTTTTACGTTTGGATCAGGTTCGTTTTCATATGTTGGACAAATTTCTCTATTACTAATAGTTCCTCTAGGATCTCCTTTCATACCGATCATCACAGCTTCCACAGGACGATTTTTTTTGTAAGGAAGAGCTATAGATGCCCATAATAAATTTTGATATTCATGATCTTCTGTAGTTGCAGCAAATGGATAACCTTTTCTATTCAATTCTGTCATCGGTTTTTCACTTTTAGGAAGTATTATTCCACTTATAATATGATATATGATATCTTTTGGAGGTTTCAATTCTTTTAATTTTTGTGTTGTCAAGAAAGCTTTACCAGGTGTGAGACGACCAACACGACCTATTTGTTGAATCATACTAGCAACTGATAAGAATTGAGTTGATGGTTTATCATAAATCCATCTGCCTGCAGCAGGTCCTTTTCCTAATTTTTTTAGTTGTGTTTCTCCAGTTAATATTACATTATCTATAGCAGGGCTAAAACCCATTTCGTGATTTATATTTGCTATGAAAAGAGAACTAGGTGGCATGCCTTCAGTTATACCAGTTACTGCAGAAGAATTTGTACTATCAAATATTACAAATGGTATATCACTTTTTTTCAACATTTCAAATTGTTTTAATGTTAATCCTGATTTCAATAAAGGTTTTGTTAAATCTTCTTCACCTGTTGCTTTTCTATCATATTCGTTTGCAGTTGTTCTGAAAAAGATTTGTGTTTTTTCATTTTCCCAATCTGTTTTTATTATTTTATCAGGTAATTTTGGTTGATTAGGTAATGTTGGTTGAGGTATTGTTATTTCTTTATCAAATTTACTTATTGAATAAACTTCTCTAGGTTTAGAGGTTGATATAGAGAAATTTTTCTTTGGAAATGTTGCACTCATTAATAAAACGTTATATTCCATTCTGATGACTAATGGTTGCACAACTTGATAACTTGTATTTGGAAAATGAGCTTCATCAAAGATGATTATTGTATTTTCTTTATCTATTAATTTTTCTTTTATATCGATCAGTACTTGATCAAAATTTTTATAATGATTTTTGGTATCTTTTAATTCTTTGATTTTTACTTTTTCATATGCTATGTATCTAACTAGATGATGTAGTTGTAGAATTGATAATGTTGATTTACCATCTTCACCACTTGTTTCTTTTTTGTATATCGGTTTTGTCAAATCATTTACATCAGCACTTCTTTTTTTTTTTTTGTTTGTATCTGATTATATTATTGCCATTAACCCATGAAGCAAGTTCACCATTTTTAACTATATAAGGTAATTCTCCTTCTTTTCCATGGATTACACATTTATAAGGAATACCATTAGCATATTGTAACCAAGTATTGTGATGATTCTCAGCATCAGCAGCTAATTCTTCGTTAGGTGTGATTAAGATGATATGTTTACTAGGAAAAACACATGTTAGTAAACATCTTACTAATTTAGTTGTTTTACCTCCACCTGTTAAGATAGGTAAGATTCCAGGTCCATCAACATCAAGTATTTTACCTTCACCAGGAACATCCTTTACTTTAGCAAAATAATCTTTGTTATAAGTACCATCATTATTTTTTAATTTATCTGGATCAAAATCTATTAGATTGAAAACATAAGGTAATAAATATGTTCCAGCTAATGATTTATCAAGTTTTTTTTCTTCTTCTAGAACTTCAGCACCAGTTATTCCACTATTCAAAATTTCTTGATTGATATTTCCAGTGAATTTATTATTTATTATTTCAGCAACTTTTATTTTATGATTTGGTTTATCTTTTAGTGTGTATCCCATTAATTTATCTTGTTTAGGTTCAGTTTCTTCTCCTTTCAACCATTTATCTAGATTCTTTTCTGTAAGATTTTCATCACCTTTTCTTTTTAAGAAAGTACCCAAGAATTTATTGAGAAATTCAGGCGTGACCTTATTTTTCCATTTGTTAAAGATTATTTCTTGAGTTTCATCTATTGATTTTAATATCTTTTGATATTTGTCTGGTGTTAATCCATCATTATTAAATTCATTGTTAGGTTCGTTTATTTTATATCTCATGGTATTTCTTTTATCTATTATTGCCTTTTTAAGATCAATTTGTTTAGCACCTCTAGGTAATAAATTATCATTTAAATTATTTATTTTTGCATCTTCGTAATTTACAGGTAAGGATTTAAAACTATTTTTATTTTTATCAAGAATATCTTCGAGTATATCTAATGATGTATCCAATTCATCTTTATTAACATTTAAAATGTTTATTTTTCTGAAATTACGATATTTTACACAATTATTCAATATTTTATGATTGGTCCAACCATTTTCTATTGCTGTTTTACATTCTCTGATTGTTAGACCAGAAAAATACCAATTATTTCGATCTTTTTCTTGAATGTTATTTTCATTAAAGAATTTTATCCAACTACTTCTATCGATCATATTTAACAATAATTTTAAATTCAAAATGAGATTAAAGTGAATTTATATATTTTCTAATATATTTTTTCTTTCTTCTCTTAGTTGGTGTAATTTTTGTTTTGTGTTTTCTGGTGAAAGATAATTTTTGTTTAAATCTTCGATGTTACGATAGATATCATTGTAAAATTCACTTGTTAATAAGTTTGAATCTTCACAATTTCTTATATTTTCAACCAAAGAATTATAATTGTCATTTTCTTCTTTTCTGAAATTATCGATTAAAGAATTTTCTTTATTGCTACGAATTCTATTTAATTCTATTTTATTTCTGTTATCAGTTAAATATTTTTCATCTAAGGAATCTATGTTATCATTAATGAATTTATTCAAAGATTCAGGTGTTGAAAATCCATCAATATTATTTTTGATAATATCGTATTTATCATTATTTTCTTTTTCTAATATTGTTCTTATTTTATCTTGCATTAAACCTGTGAGTTTTGTTTTTGAATCATCTGGTAGTATATTATCTTTTAATAATTCATCCATCACATCTTCAACTTCTTTTGTGGTTTTCGATTTATCTATTTTATCAGTGTATATTTCTTCTATTATTTTATTTTTCTTTTCTCGAGATAATTTTGTTAATTCAGTTTTTAATTCGGGTGATATTATATTATCTGCGGATAATTCATCAATCACATTATCAATTTCATCCACAGTATTTGATCTGTTTATTTTTCCGTTATATTCATTTATTTTGTTCTTTATTTCATTTATTTTTTCATTTAATGTTTGTTTTTGCGTATCTAATAATAAGTCATTATTTCTTATTACGTTTTTCAAATCATCCAATTCTTGTTCTGTTTTGAGTTTGTCTATGTTTTTGTTAAATTCATCAATTGATTTTTCTCTATAATAATTCAATTTATCTTTTCTTAGATTTTGTAATTCGTTGATTTTATTATAGGATATTCTAGAATTTTTAATGTTTTGATCGATGTTTCCATTTTCTAATAACTTTCTGACTTCAGTTATTTTATTCATATCGATAGTTATTATCGAATTTTTTATTTCATCAAATATAGTATCTTCATTAACAGGTGGTATGACAGGGAAAAGATTTTCTCTTCTTCTGAGTATTTTATTTTGGAGATCTTGTTTTTGTGTACTTGATAATATTTTATTATTTGTTATTATATTATCCATATCATCTAATTCGTTTTCGGTATTGAGATTATCTATATCATTATCAAATTCATTGTATTCACTGTTTCTGAAATTCAATAGTTTTTCTCTTCTTTTTTCTTGTAATTCATCAATATCATTGTTTGATAAGTTTGAATCATTTATTTTTTTATCAAGATTTTTGTTATCCAGTAATTTATCTGCATTGTCTTTATTGATATCTTCTATTTCTTTTTTTCAGTTCATCAAATAAGTTTGTAGGTGATTTTGCAGGTTGAGATATATCAGATAATTTATTTTGGATCAATGTTGAGATGTCTTCTTTTTGTTTAGTCGATAGTATTCTATCATTAATCAATTAATCTGATATATCATCTATTTCTCCTTGAGTTTTTGATATTCTAATTTTATTTTCTAATTCATTGATTTTTTCAGATATGAGTTCATTTAATCTATCATTTCTTAGTTGTTGTAGTTTTTCGATTTTATCATTTGATAAGCTTGCGTTATTTATTTCTTCTTCTAAATCTCCATAATTTAATAATTTATCTGCATTATCTTTATCATGATTTTTAATTTTTCTTTTCAATTCATCAAATAAGATTTTTTCAGGATCTTTAGGATGTTTAGGTTCTTTTAGTTTTTCAGGTTCAGGAATTTTTCTGTGTAATATTTCCAATCTTCGTTTTTCAAAGTTTATTTTAGCATCATTTGGTATGTTTGATGATTTAATTAAAGTATCTATAGGACCATTGTCTTTGATATAATCTTTACGTAAATCTTTTTCATAATCTAAAAATTCTGAGAATAAGTTAGGAGATTCAGGATAGTAAAGTTCATTATTTTTTAAAGATTCTGATATAGTTAATAATCTATCGATATATTCATTCATGTTTGTTTTTTTTTCTAATTTCATCAATCTATCCATATTTTCTAACTAATTTTTTTTAATGATTTTTTTATCATTTTTAGGTATTTTTAATTCATCCCAAAAATGTGGTTCGTAGATACCATCATTGAAAAAATTTTCAAATCTATTATTTGTTGAAAATTCATCTATAATAAAATCGGTCATGCAATATGTTTTTAATTTTGTTTTTTGTATTGCGATGTGATGATGTATTTCGTTGATTTCATTTATATTCAGTTTAACTAATTTGTTAAAATTTTCATCTTTTAATAACGAATCATATAATCCATTAGTGATTAACTCTTTACAATTAATTTCTGATTTGATAATTTTAAGTATTTCAGGTACACATATATTTTCATATTCTTGATTGCATTTGTTAAGATCTTTGATGAATGTGGATATTATCATTTTGTTAAAATTTTTATCTTTTATGTTTACGTTTAATTTATCGATTTTTTTAAATATCCAATAAGTATCAATAGGATTTAAATTATCATGATTACTTAATAGATATTTCTACTATTCAAACCAATTTACTATTGATGTATTTTCTAGATTTTTTAAACGATCCTTTTCTAATGAAACAATTTTTTCTTAGGTTAATTCCTTTATTATATTTTCATTTCTTAAGAAATTGTAAGTGAATCCTTTATACATTAAGAAATTGGAATTTTTATTATTTTTCATAAAGTTGATTAAAAAAGTTTCTTTTTCAGGTAATTCTTCTTTCATTCTTTCACATATGTTTTTTCTTATTTTGTGTAATTTGAGACTATGTTTTTTCAATATTTCATTACTATTGATTATTTTTTCATATTTTCCTGCTTCACAATAATCCAAAATATCTTTTTGGTCATTTTCTAATAAAGATTTAAAATTATCATATGTTATTTCTTTTAAGTTTAATCTATTTTTGTTGTTTTGTTTATCTACGTAATCACCATATTTATTAATTCCAGAAAGATATATTGGTGCTGACATGAGATTATGTTTTAACATGTATTCATCCCATATAATATTAAAAAGCCTATCAAAATTATTTTTAATAATAGGATATTGACAAGTTGATATGTTTTCTGGTTTGTATTCATTGATAATTTTATTATGTGTATCGTAATTTACATATTTATGACATATTGACTCAATATTCTTTATGAAAATTGTTAATATGATTATTATAATTGGGATTTTGATAATAATCATCATAATTTTTGTTTGGATTATTTACGATTTTATAAAAATATTCAATGTTATTATTATTTGGATTTTCTATTGTGTTTATATGATTATTTATGTAATTGTAAGGATTTAATTTCACACATTGAAGAATATTTCCTTCAGTATTATATAAGATACATGTGTAACTTTAAGAGTAAATATTTTGTATTAATAACAAGAATAAAAAATAAAAATACATTTTATTTAGATAATAAGTAAAATTTTTATGTTTAAATAGATAAATTATTGAATATTTGACCTATTTTTAAATGTAATAATTCAAAGAAAGAAATATCATCATTTCTTATGACTGATAGTAACAAATCAACTATTTCTAAAAAGATTCTTTTATCTATTTTTTTGATATTTAGATAAAAAGATTTATTTTTTTTTTTATGTATACCATGATGAATCAGAGATTTCTAAGGTTTAATATAAAAATTTTCTTTGTAATGTTTAAGGTTATCTGTTATTATTTCATTGAGATGATTGATTATTTTATCATCTGTTTCTATGATTCTTTTATATCTATCTAGTATCAATTTTATAATATTTTTAATTGAAGAATTAAATGTAAAATTTATAGGTTTTAACTTGATCGAATTTTTTTTGTTGAGAAAATTGATAGAAACACGATTATTTAAGATATTTGAATTTATATTAGAATTATTTATTATTTTCATTTTTTTTTCTAAGAGATCAAGTTCTTTTTCGAATTCGTTTTTATTGTTTATGAAAAATTTATCGATTTTCTTTAAAGATTTGATATATGTGTTAATTTTATCTTGATTTTTTTCATTTTTTACACGTGTGATGAATTTTTCGATTAATTCATTTCCTTTTTGTTTGATATTGTTATTCAATTCTTTAATTTGCCAAGGTCCTAATCTATCATCTTTTTGTATCTGATCGTATAATTTACTTTTAGGCTGTAAATCTATGAATTTTGTTTTTTCATTTATTTTTTTGTTGTAATATCTTAAGATATCTTTACAATCGATTAGAAAATTCATTATGGATTTTTTTATAATGATGAATCTATTTATAATTAAATTTTGAATTATGCAGCAGAAGCACCAGAAGCATCAGAAGGACCAGAAGGATCAAAAGGACCAGGAGAAGCACTAGGAGAAACAGAATCAAGTGGAACATCAGGATTTTCTATAGCATATTTTATAGCATCTACTAATTGTTTCAACGCAGATCCACTTGCTTGTTTGAGATTTGATACACTGTCTATGTTAGTTTCGTAAGCCATGATAGGAATCGCTTTATTAACAATGAGAAAAGGTCCAGAATGTATAGGAAATTTAGGTCTTGAACCAAAGAATGTAATATCATTGTTATATTCCATGTTTGGTAATCTTAAACTATTCTCTATATTTTTTTTCATTATATCTGGAGCAAATGTTACAGTTAAAACCCAAATAACATTTGGTTGATATCCGATAACGGTACTTTGTTGTCCTTTAGTGTTAGTTATTGTTTCTTTATCACAACAATAGATTATCAAACCATTTTCTTCATCTGCTCTTTTTACACCATATGGCATTCCTTGTGATTCAATTTTTTGTTTTTCATCAGTGTGAGTATGATAAAGACGTGTACTAAAATCATACCAAAATGGTTTACAAGAATCACATCCTTGTTGAATATTTTTTGATATTTCATTTATGTTAACGGGTGTATCAGCAGCAAACATGAATTCCCAATTATCTTGGTTTATACGTGATCTCATCTCACCATCAGTATTATCAAATCTATATGTACCCTTTTTAAAAATATCTTGTAATTCAATATTATTTTTCATGAAGAGAAAATTTCTTTCATTTTCTTTTTCATTAGGATCTCCAGTTTTTTTTCCGATTAAGAAAGCTAATATTACTATGAAATTACCAGGTGGTTCGTATATGTTTATCCTTTGTTCAGGGTTAATAGTTATACTGTTAGCACCGGTATTTAACACGATACTCATATTAATTTCGTTAAAGAATCCGTGTAATCTTAATTTAGATGCTTTAGGAAGATCTTTTGAAAAACTTTGACTGAATTTATTTACCATTATTAAGGAATTTGTAGCGATATTATCAGCTATGTAAACATTTTTACCGTATTTTATTTCACCACCATCTAATTTTTCATCAGTTATTTCTACTACTTCAGTGTTAAAAGAACCAAAATCATCTATGTAAGATGCGTCTGGAAAAAAAAATAGAAGCGATATTATTTAATAGGTGGTTTTGGTTTACCATCTTCACTAATTTCTTCTAGATCACAGATGATATCACATGGTAAGTTAGGAATATTTATTGAGGTTGATTTATTACTAGCATTTTTTAAATTTTGATAAGATACTAAATTGTCAAGATTTTTATTGAAAAAAGTAGAAAAAAAATCATCAGAATTTTTTGTTTTTTTTGTTGTTGGTTTTGAATATGGATAAAAAGAACTAAATAATTCTAAATTAGTACGTCTATTCATGATGAAAAACAATTTCTAAGTTGTTTTTGAAAGAAGCTAAGTTTTTGTTGTTGTCTCACATCTTTGGAAATTGTTTTATCTTTTATAGATGATTTTTTATTGTTTTTAACAGGAAAATCAAGAGTTGATTTAGATGTTTTTTCTATTTCTTTGATTATATCTTCGTTAATAATTTTTCTTTTCGAAAGACTTTCTAAGGTTTCTTTTAATTTGAATAATTTTTTGATTATATTATTTCTATCCTTAGTTAATTTATCATTTTCTTTTTCTAATTTATTGATTTCTTTATTCAATTCGATTTTTTCATCATCCATTCTAGATCTTGCAATCTTTCCATTTACAATATTTATTTCTTTTTTATTTTTTTTCATTTTATCATTTATTTTTCTCAAATCTTTTAACAATTCATTCTTTTTTTCCTTTTCATCAATATTAGATTCTTTTTTCTGTTGTTTAACAGGTTTAAAATCTGAATTATTTTTTTTTTTAACATTATTTGTAGATACAACACCAGTATTTCCATTAAGATATTCAGCAAATGAAATGGGTATGATATTATTTCGTTGCATTTTAAGATTGATTAATTTCCGATATTGAGTAAAAAATTAAGCATTCCACTATCCAAAATTTCTATTAATTTATAGTAAGATTTACTTATGGGAAGTAAAAAATCTTCAAAGAGATCAGAATGTTTTTTAAATTCTACGAGTGTTATGAAAGACAGATATATTATCTAAATAATAATTGCTAATCTGATTAATCTGAATGTACTGATCCACAATTCACTCATATAACGTTCATAATATTCTTCATCGAAATTTTCAGAATTCATAACAGAATAAAAGAATAATATTTATTGTATTTATATTTTTAAAGGTAAAGAAGAGATTAATTCTTCGAGATTTTTGTCTTTATCATAAAATTTTCTAATATCTTGCATTGGAATACCAAGTTTTAAACAATGACCAGTAAATTGAAACCATTTATTTTTTGTATATGGATTATAAGTATCTTTATTATTTTTTCTTTTTTTTTTAGTTTTTAGAGAAAAATTCAAAGAAATCTTAATATTTTCAATATTTTTCTCAATATTCTCTATATTTTTTTCAATATCTTTAATGTTTATAGACATTTTTTTTTAATGGTAAAAGTAAAATATATATTCTTTTTATAGTTAAAAATATTTTTTCAAAAAAAAATATTCGGAATTTATTAAATAATTTACGAGAGAAATCTAATTTTTTAAAAAAAATCAAGAAAAAAGATAAAATTAATATGAATTCATATATAATTTTTTTTGAAAAAATATTTTGATAAAATGTAATAAAGGATATTTTAAAGATTTTACTGTAAATTAACGTATAAAATAATTGATATTTTAATGAAAAAAATGAGATTTATTTTCAAAAAAAATAAAAAAAAATGATTTAATAATAAAACATATATATTTTTGAAATAAAAAATCAAATTTCAAAATCAAAAAATTAATTTTCAAAAAAAAAATATTTGGTTTTTTTAGAATTTACGTTAATTTATTAATAATTTCAAAGAAAAAAAAATAAATTTTTCAAATATTTCAAAATAATATAAAAATTAATAGTGAATAGATAAAAAAATAAATGATAAAATATTTTTTTTTAAAAAATATGTAAAAAAATACGAAAAAAAAATGAAATTAACGTAAAAAAATGTAAGAAAAAAAAGAATAAAAATATTTTTTAAGATAAAAAAAGGATAAAATTTATAATTTTTTTCAAAAAGAATAGTAAATATACAAAAAAATATTTATTAAATTTAAAAATATAAAAATTTTTATACTTTATTTTATTTTTTTTTGTTGAAATTTATAATTTTATACGTAAAAAAAAATAATTTTCTGATGATATTTAATTTTTTTTTTAAAAAATGGTTAAAAATATTTTTTTTATTTGAAAAAATGAATAAAGAAAATAAAAAAAAATATTAAATTTTGAAAAAGATCATGATTTTTTTTTTAATAATTGACTTTTGAATACGTTATTAAAAGTATTTAATTTTAATAAATTTTTATATGATATTTGTTTGAATTTATTATTATGTTTTACAGAAATGTTTAAATAATAGTTTTTGCCTCGTTTTAAAGCTGTCCAAGTATGATTTAGATATTTATTATAAATTTCAGGATCGATAATAAAATTTATATCTTTTAATTTAGATTTCATTTCGAAAAAATGTGTTTTGTCTATGCTAACATGTCTTATTTTGTTATAAGATTTTTTTTGCCCATGACCAGAAGTCCAATTACCATGAACTTCATATTTGGATAAATCTAAATTTCCAATATAAGCCATGAAAATTAATAATTTATATAAATAATGATAATAGTTTGATTTTAAATCTGTAACAAGATGAATTTATATAAATTATTAATTTTCATGTTGATATTACAAATTATTTTTATACAAGATATTTATTCGATAAATTCTGAAGAAAAAAATAATGAAAATCAAAAAAATGATAAAATTTTATCATCTTCTACTTATGACATAACAAAGGTAAATGTGATTCTTTCTAATTATTAATCAAGATAAAAATTAATATTATTTCATTTGGTAAGTATTATAAATTTTAAATATTGAATTTATTAAGATAATTATTAAATAAAAAATTATTTATTTTATAGTAGGGTGTTATTTTAGGATTAGCGATATCATTCGTGACTAGTTATATGAACAAGGAAAAAATTTTATCATTGTTAGACAATCTAACCAAAATGATAAAAAATAAGAATGAGAATGAAGATGATGATTTTTCAGAAGGTGAGAAAAATCATTCAAAGTTTTAATTAATAATTATTATTAATAATATTAGTTATTATTTATTTAGAAGAAAATATTTTTTTAATTAATAATGTAGATTTATGATAAATAAAAAAATCAATTTTTGAGAGAATAATAAAATGTCTATTCCCAAATTCGAATCTATTAAAGATATTTTAATAAATGAACAAGACATCTTGAGGGAACTTAATCCATACATCACTTGTACCAAATTTAACCAAAAAAATTTTTCAAAAAAATCAAAATTTCTCAACATTTTATTAATTAAACT